TTGATTTTTGCTAAGTCTAGGTTTTTCTAAATCTAAGTTAGTATAAGTTAGTAATGGAGACTCTTTTGGTCGCACCAGTTAAATTAGGATTCAGGTAGACGCTCTCAGAGAGCAATTACGAATAGAGTACACCGTCTCTTTGTCATGGTTTCTTATTTTGACCGGATAGATTCGTGCAACTTCGTAGTCTAATACCGACCCTAATTTTACTCTTAGTTTATTACAAATCCTCTTTAGTTCCTTGTCTCAATAGATCTAGTATATACTAGTAATCTTGCGAGTTTAGAGGAGAGGTAGAGCAACTGCTTTCTAAGTTAAATTATTTCTGCTCTGGCTGAAAGTATAAATAGTTTCAGCTTTACAATTTATCATAAGTTTTAGTAATGGATTAGTATTCGTTATTTCTAATTATTTTACAGTAATAATTATCATAGAAAACTATTAAATATACAAAATACTTGTTTCAAACTGGTTCTAGAATAAGTAACTAGCTCAAGAAAGTCTTGCATCGAGTAGAAAAACAGCACGGGCGTTTTTTGCATACATGATCAGATAGTAAAAAAAATAGCATAATGAAGAAAAAACATCCATCGGTTTTTCATTCAGTTAATTAATACAACACTTCCAAAAGGAAATAGAATGAATGGAAAAATTCCATCAAATTAAATTTTTGAGAATCTGTTAAAAAAGATTGAAATTTAAGTGGTATTTTGTACCCATCAATTTTCATCAAAATTTTAAAAGTTATTTAAATTTATTTTCAGCCAGAACAAAACCATTTTCATCAAAAAGTGTCATTTCCTTCCCTTAAATTTGGTCGTACATTGAGTCTGAATTTTTCAATTCCAAAAACGCTAAGTTAAAAGTTTGATTGGTTGCAAGTTTTTTGTTCAAATTAAGTTAATGTTCATATATAAATGTTCGAACGAAACCTTTTTACAGTAATGCTACGAATGTTTCCAGCTTTATTCTATATCAAAGTAGGTATAAATCGGGTGTTTTTTCTTTAAATTTAGCCGCCTGATGGTAATTTAAGAAAAAAGAATATGTGTTTGTAGAATAAGAAAAAACGATCAACATTACATTATGTTTTGGTTATAATGTGATGGATACATAACCGATAGATGTTGTTTGTCATTCTGCTCAAGTTGAAAAATGTACATTCCTACTGAAACAAAATATATGTTTATGCCAAACAGCAGTAAGATGAAAGTTTGGTAGAAACAAGAATGGTCTGTCACTGTTCAAGTTGCACAGAAGATTCCGACCATGGTCTTAAGAAACAACAATTTTTTTTAAAAAAATTAGTGGCGTTTTTTTTTCTGCGTGGCATGAAAAACGTATCTGCACAAAATATAGAACTAAGACATACTCGACAGTCATAGTGAAATGAGCATATTTGAAAACAATTTTTCAAGAACAATGACCAGAAAAACAAAATTATCAAAAAAAAACTCGAGTTTTTTCAATTTCAGCGTTGAAAGACTCAAAAATTTTACGTTCAGAATAAACTATTGTGAGCCATTAAGTTAATAAATTAAGTTATTATAAGCCCGCTCACTCCCTTCACTAGCTCGAAGTTAGACAAAAATCAAAAACTGAAAACCGGTTTCTATTGACAATGGAAAAATTTTTGGAATTTTTTCAATGCCTTTCAAATCACGACTGAAAAAGTTCTTTTATGATAAACCTTTCACTCATTCCAATAAATATTGGTGGTTGCTAATTTTGCGTGGAATTTTAGAAAAAGCAAAAAGAAAAGAACAAAACACACCCGAAATGAACGACACAGGAACGAAAGCTAATATATGACATGGCTAGTATAAAGCAAGTAATAGTGCTACATTTACAAGTCCGATGAAGCACAGTGGCTTGTGCACGATTTTGTCAATTCCTAACGCAATGACTTGATCCTCAGTGGGGCTAAGGCGCTTCTAAACAGTAAGCAAACACAAGGGCTAATGCTGATTGAGCTCCCCGGTTGACCGAAAATGCTTATCATACAATTCTCATAAATGGAAAATTTTTTTCGTACATCTTCATACCATTCCATACGTACAGAAAATTGTATGAAAGCTCTGTATTAAACATTTTCCCATAAATGGAAATTGTATGATAGGTGTTTTCGCCATAAACCAAAAAGTTGATTTTTGTTTCTAAATTTATTTTCTGAAAAAATTTGAGTTGTGTTTGCAAACGAACACAAGTGGCAAAGACCTTGATTACTCAAAGCACCAAAAGTTGGAGGTCTTAGATTTCCATTGCATGATTTTCATTTCGTTGTATGATAAAGTTCAATGCATGATAAACGACCTGAATTGTCTTCAAGATGTCTTTCACAAATGATATAACAAAAGTAACAAGATTTTAAATTTTGGCAAAACTTTTCAGTGATGATTATTTAATTTTTTTGAATTTTTCAATTATCAGACATTGATCAAGGCATACATAAACACGCCATTCAAAAGAATTAGGAACTTTCAGCGTTTTTGAAAAAAAATTAAGTGAAAAGAAAAATAAAGCCATTATTATTGTATCCTATCCAGGACTTCGTTATGAGCACAAAAAAATTTTCGGAAAATGTCTGTTTGCGTACAAAATTCAATTTGCGGTTGAAAACAAAACAAAAAAAATTTTAGGGCAAATTTTCAAAAATAAATTTTGTGTCGCCATCAAAAAATGCCAGTCATACAATTTCCGTATACATGGAAATTGTATGAAAAGCATTTTTTTCAAAAAAATATATTTTATATCAATTTTTTTATTGTCACCAGTCTGTTCAACTGTTCTCAAAAAGCCGCAGAAATGGTTTATTTTTTTTCTATTGTTTTCGAAAATGTATGAAAGTTGTATGACAAGCATCTTCTCCATAACCTTGATGTATGGATTTGTATGACAATGATTTTTATTGTATGGAATTGTATGATGAGCTTTTTCGGTGTATGGAGGTCAACCCGGGCAATTTAAACACAAAAAGAAGGCTGTTTTCTACTCCTCCTCCCCGCGTTCAAATGTCAGTTTTGAAAAACCTTTTTCATTGTCATAATGTAATGCAATTTCGCATGCTGAACAAACTAACTGATGTGAACATAATTGTTCTTCATGTCCCACATCGTATTATCACGCGTTCAGTTACAATAATACGTAAAACAATTGAGAAAATGTACAATTTGAGCTGTAGGGCGATTAGACGAGTGCATAAAATAAGATCAGACGGGAATCGGTTTGCTATCAAAACTATGCTTTAAAATTATGTGATCAAAAGGTTACTTCATTTGTACAGCCGGGCGGGCCAAAAAGCTTGAAAACGTTTTTTCCTGTACATAATCTTCAATCTGATGAACCGGATCTTATTGCAACACTTTTAGGAATAGATCAATAGCTCTTTAGATACTTTTTTGGTACTGTTCGGCTTTAGATTGTGCATGCAAAACAACGTCTGAAAAATTAGCTATAGCGCGCGAAAAATGTCGTGAACATACAGTGCTGATTTAAATTATCCGGACAAAATGAACAAAACTTGATTTTTAAACATATTGCTCTCAATTTGGGTTATGATTAGAAAAAAATGAATAAAACAAAAATCGCTTAGAATTTCATCAGAATTAAGATGTTACAATTTTTTCTCCGAATTTTTCAATCAAAAATTTACCCCAAAAATGGTTAATTTTGGTTTTTTTCAATTAATCAAAAAATGCGCCGAAAGTACTTTAATAATTGACGGAAAAAATTTATCACAAGAAGCCTCTTACACAGCCCAGCAGAGTTCCAGGAAAATTAATCTCCAAAAATTAAAAAAAAAAATTGTTTAAATTTTGTTTTTAAGCAAAGATTTTGGGTTTGATACAGTAAAAAATCACTTTTCTTGACTATCAAGTAAAAAATACTCTTATACTGTTTTTTGAAGATTATTCTTTTCTTAAAAATAGTTGGGCTGTTTAAGGGGCTTCTTGTGATATGGTTTTCTCGTCAATTAACAAAGTTGTTTCAGCGTAATTTCTGAGCAATTGAAAAAACCAAATTGACCCATTTTTGGGGTATAACTTTGGTTAAGAATTTTGAAGAAAAAATTGCATCATATTAATTCTAATGAAATTCTAAGCAACTTTTGTTGTATTCATTTTATGTTTTCTATTAACCCAAATTGAGAAAAACGCGTTTAAACTTTCGAATTTTGTTCATTTTGTCCGGATAATTTAAATCAGCACTGTAGTTTTTGACAATTTTATAGGACAACATTTCAAATTTTTGGAATAATTCAGACTTTCAAGCAGTGAAATGGCGTTGAAACTGCAATCGAATTTTTAAAACTGCATTTAAACAATGGAAAACGATTTCCCTTATTCCAAGAATTTCTTTTTTGCCTGCAAAATGTGTCGGAAACACAAGCTTTAACAAATTCATCGGACAAGATTTTGAAACATTTTTCAAGAGCTTAATTGAAAAAGAATTTCTTTCAACAAACAATTGCCAGGTAAATTTTATGGCCATAAACCGTAAAAAGCCGACAAAAGGTAAAAGCAAAACTTCAAAAAAAAAACAACTTTTGCGTGCAACAAGTGTCGAACAAATTTAACTTTTATCAAATTTATCGGACAAACTAATTAATCTTTGAAAAAATTTGACCTTGAAACCTTGAAATGGCGTTAAAACTGCAATCGAATTTTCATAACTGCACAGTTGTTCATTAGAGCACAACTGGAAAAAAACTTTTACAATCAACTATTTATTTTTCAATCATATATTTTTCAAGACGAAAAACACAAAAGATCGACAAAAACGTAAATACGAAACTTCAAAGAAATGTTTCGATTTATATTGAGTTCGAAAGTCGAATTATTTCAGAAAATTAATACGTTGCAGGGGCGGATTTAGGAGGGGGTGGGTTGGCCTTTTTTCCTTAGGAATTCGACCCACTGCTGACCCAAATTTTGAGATATCCTCTGCGCAATTTTGAGGTTTAGAGCCCAGTTCTCTATAGTTTTATTTTGAGCGATGAATTCGTGAGATCATTTTCAAATTGAGTCCAAACTTACCAACAGCTCATAAATTAATCAACAAACGCACTTGTCAAATGCGTTTCAACGTGTTTTCTTAAACATGCCATTTGTTACATACCAAAATTGGCATTTGCTATTACAGAAATCGTTACTCGCCAAAGCTTACTTTAAGACTTGCGTTGTATAACTCACCTTTAAAAGCTTTGGACGGACCATTTTCAGACGTACCTTTTTTACAGCCTTGCTGCAAACTAGTAATTTGAAATTGAATTAGAAAATATTTAAGACAACTTTGTTAATTATAACTATCTGTCAAACCGTTATCAATTCACAATCTTAGTTCAATTTTTCCATGCAAAAAATGGATGTGGTATTACATAATAGATTACCTGGAATTTTCCAACTCGTCTTCGTCCTCTCGGTCGTGGCTCAGCTCGTATCTGGCGACGTAACTTTCGGCAGTTGTCCGAACAAGTGTACATGTGAGAACGACAATGATGGAAAATTAGTGATTGATTGTGCTGATGCTGATTATGACTACGTGCCGGTTACCAGCATTCCATGCAATGCGAAGAAGTTGCTGTTTATAAATAATAATCTCCAGTAAGTAATAACAACTTACCATAATTTCCCATATCAAAATAGCGACCGTGACACAAAATTGATGATGAAGGAGCAAAAAACGCGGCTTTTTTCCCGGTCGATGTCTGCGACTTATGTCCAGACAATCGCAACCAAAAATTGGCATGTCTAGTTTTTTTGCGAACAATTGTGACCTGCGCTTCCAGACTCAAACTCTCGGAGCCAATAAGCAACTTCGGTCATCATCCGGACGCGGCGCGACTTTCAAAGTCCGAACCTAATTCTGAGACCTCGTTCCGGGTCGGTACAAATCGTAGTTTTTGATATGATAAACCTTTTGAAACTCAATTCGATTTGTAGTGTTTCTGCACGGGGTTAATTGAGGGTAAAGATAAAGAAAACACTAATGAAAAGTGAAAAAAAGCATAGAAACTTTTGGCCTAAAAGTGAATTGGGAAGTTTACAATCAAAACAAGTCCGATTTTATCTCGCCGTATGTTCTATTCAAGTAGTTCGCATTTTGCTGAGTATAGATTAGTTAAGTATAACTCAATTTTATTCAATTTTATTCAGTAAAAAAATTGAATAAAAAACCAATCAATCGGAAGTCAAAAAAGCGGTCCGCATTTCTTTTTTGAAAATATAACTTGATACTTTTGGCAAGAAAAGTATCATAATTCAAACATTAGGTGTTTTGCTTATTTTGGTTATATTTTCATTTTTTTGTTTACAGAAAACTGAGCAGGATGAGTTTCATCGGCCTACGTGAGCTGGAAGAAATTGATGTCTCTGGCAATTTCATTTCCTATATTGAGCCGGAGTCGTTCGCTGGCCTCCCCTCGCTGCAACGAATCAACCTCGTGCAAAACGACTTGACCACAATTGAGTCGTGGTATTTCCGAGACGTCTCATTCCAGCACGTTGCCGTGTCACTTGACGGAAATCCCGTCTACTGCGACGAAGACTTAAAAGGAAAATAATTTATGTTTATGCCGGCAACCAAATCAATATTTTGATTTTTTGGGTTAAGCTTCATTTGCTTGTTTTTAACATAGATCAGGAGTGTTCGTTAAATTCATTCGAAATAATTTTTTTTTGATATGGTTGTAAAAAAAATATTTATGGAAACAAATAATTAGTGAAAAGAAAAAGTCGAATATAACCTCCGATTTAAAACGCTAGAAGCTTTGGTCTTTATTTTTATAACTAATGAAATGCAAACTCTTGTTTTTCACCATATAGAGGATGGTACTTATTTTGAAATATGTAACCATCTCTGTGTTTTGTAAATAGTAACAAACTATTTTTATCCCTTTTTTGCAATTGGGGGAAATAGTTAGAAAAAGGTCTTGGCAAGTAATATGGCGAAAGTTCGGAGCAGAAACTCTATTCAAAACTGAATCTGTGGGATCAAAAAAAGCGTTTGCCCTTTTTCCGTTTCCCCTCACCTGGCATGAACATCAGTTCTATGGTGTAACGAGCATTTTTACACGAGAATAGATACGCAGACCCATGTTATTGCCATGAATTAATTTGTCTGTATGTCATTTTTTATAACAATCGGAAAATTTTAACAATCAATTCATTTGTTTAGTTTCTCAGGTGACGGGGGGGGGGGCGTAGAGTTGAGAAACTCCTCGAAATAGCCGAAACCCCTGTAATGATAGGTCTGACATAACTGGTCAGACAACAAATGGCTCTCTAAACACTTTCATTTTTTGTGACTTAAGAAAAAGTTAAAAATTGTCCGAAAATTCTAATTTTTTTATTCTTTTACAGAAAACATTAACCTCATCAAGAACCAGGTCACAGTCGGCGGATTGATTTGCGCAGGTGGGGAAATTTGGCGCGTTCTCGGAAAAGTCAAAGGACGAACTTACGAAGACGTCGAAAGTCAAATCCGAAAGAACTTCGAGTCGTGGGAAATCGCTCTTTTGACCTTGTCGTCTTTCGTTCTTTTCTTGATCATTATCTTAGTGGTTAACGTGATTTACCGAGTCAAAAGAAGCGACTACACAACTGGAGAAGTTATGCGAAGCACGAACCGACGTGGTTCAAACATTCGGAAAAGTTACCACGGTTCGGAAAATGAAGAGGCTAACGAAGCGGCTCAGTCGACGAGTGGAAGTCGGAAAATTCCAATGAAATCGGAAGACCATTACTATGACGAGGACGATGACGCTGTGGTGTTTGGGGCACCTCAAAAACCCAAGTACAGTGACAGTGGAAGCGAAGAAGCCCCCCTTTAGCCCAACTTCTCCCCACCCCTGAAGTCAATAACAAAAAGACAGAAAAAAAAAGAAAAAAGCGTCACAATATAGAAGAAAATAGAAGTGTGACCAAAAAGTTTTGGATGGATATTTTCATAAATTACCATTAGACTTGGGAAAACTTTGACGTGTTTTAATATCTATACATTTTCTTTTAACGACACAAGTTAATTTCTACCATTTTCAAGATTGAATAGAAAGAATTTTTTCCAGGAAGGGTATAACTACTGAGCATCTATATAGCACGCTTAATGGTTTTCGGTATTAATCCGTGTTTGTAAGAAATAGATACAAATAACTCTTTGATCTAGGGTAATTTTTTTCTGGAACAGCTTCGAATTTTGAATTTCAGAATGACCATTGTTAACAAGTTTTCTATATAACACTTGATTTTTTATAATACTTTGATGCTCTTAGTTGAAATCAAGGGTAGATCTAGGATTTTTTCGAGAGGGGGGATTTTCAAAAAAATTTCAAAAATTTTGTCGACAGTTTTTTTGATAAACCAAATTGATTTTCCGAGATCTCCTAAAGCACTAAAAGGCATTTTTGGCTCTTTTTCCTCCAACCAAACCCTCCCCCCCCCCCCCCCCCCACCTGCAAAATCGTACTACGAAATTTTGTTCACGTTATCCGAATGTTACGAAAATGGACCTGCGAGCTAATTAGGCCATAACAAACATATTTGTTCTGCATAATTAACCTTGCAAAACCCCTCGTTACACCATAAAATTGACGCTTAGGTGAGGTGAGGAGGAGGGGAAGGAAAAATAGCCGCATTTTAATCCCTTTTTTTGGAAAATTTTGACCAACAAATTGGGTATTTATTGGCGCGCGCTCCCCCCTCAAAATTAGTATAGGCTCTTTTTCCTTTCCCCCCCAACTGCAAATTTTTATATTTGAAGTTATTGTTCACTTTGTCCTATTGTCGTGAAAATTGACGTGCAGAATATTTAGGCCATAACAAGCATATTTAATCATCATAATTAACCATGTAAAACCAGTCGTTAGACCATAAAGTTCATGTTTGAGTGGGGTGGAACAAGGAAAAAGAGCCTTAATATAAATTGGCCCCGAAGGGTCCGTCAGACAAAAAATGTATATCTCAAAGTTGTGAGTAGTATTGTATCGTGTCCCGGGACCTAAGGAGGGGTCCTTCCTAAGGGGGGGTCCTCACGTAAAAGCATAATCCTAGGAAAGGGTCCCTAATTTTTTCGAGGACCCTCATCCTAGGATTTTGTAAACGAACGAAACTTTCCTCCCAAAAAGCAGAAGACCCCCTACTTAGGATCTTGCTAAGCTTAGCTTAGCAACAAGGGGCCATTACGAGGCCAAACTGTGCATTTTGTGCATCGTAAGCTGATTCTGCAACAAGGACGCTCACTTGGTTCTTCGTTTGTTCTTTTCTTTCTTTGACCGTTCCGACAAAATTTTAACATGTTTAAAGACTTGTCCGTGGAATCTAGAAACATACAGACACAAAATTGTGCGCCTATCCAGTGCACACTTTAGCCTCGTAACGACACGATACAAAAATCTTTCTAATTCCAATTTTTGGGGTCCTAATTATTGGTCCTGGTTAATAAAATTTCTGGTCATTTTAATTGTTAAATTTGTTTCAGGCAAATGAACTTCCGACCTAGTTGAAATTTGTTATTGAACAGGGAAGTGAGACACACTGCACTCTTGAATACCAATGATTGATTAATAAAAAAAGCCTGAGATAGAGATAAAAAAGAGATTTTAATCTGTAATTCGAATAAAAGTTAGGAAGTGAGTGACACAGCAGTTGCCATCGCCGATCCATCGTGAAATTTGAAACACATGTACACTGAATTTTTTATATAATAAGTAAGTCTCAATCCTAAAAAAGATCCTTATTTGGCCGCGCGATTGATTATATCGAGCGATGGTATCTAGCGATGATCCAATTATTCCTACATGGAAATCGTAATTGTTCAATGAGCAAAATGATGTGTCTTGAGATACACAGCACTTTTGAGTACCAATGATTTTCCTATGCAAAAAGTCTGCGATAGAGATAGAAAAGAGATTTTACATTGTAAATCGATTTAAAGCTGGGATGTACTTAACACATAGCAAACGCCATCGCCGATCTTTTGTCAAAAATGGTTCATATGTACCATTCATATGCATCATATAACCCTACAAAAGTGTCCAAATTTGGCCGACCGTTGATATCGAGCGATAATCCAACTAATTCTAATTGAAACTTGCAATTTTTCAATGAGCAGAACAATGTGTAGTGAAAATCACAGTAGTCAAAGCTAGGATGGGCTTGACACATAGCGAATGCTATCGCCAATTTTAGTTTAAAATGATTCAGTTGTATCAAATACTTCAAATGCAAACACTTCGTAAGTTCCATTTAAAAACATGTTTTATCGATTGAAAAGTACTTTTTTGATGATGGCTCACACATTTTTGATAGCTTTAGGCCAGGGCAGCTCTTTTTTTATAGCAATCATAAGAAAGCATTCAAAAAGAGTGAACTTTTCATTTTTTGGCTCAACCTTTAAAGTACAATTGGTATTTGAGAGTAAAGTACGAACATGTATATAAATTGTCTAAACTATAACCATTTTCGTATCTCAGCTCTGACGTCTAAGATCTCAAAAAGCGCCTCCAATTAAATATGACGCAGGTCAACTTTGAATGTGAAGAACCTCTTGAGCGTGATGAAAATATTAAACGCCTTCATTGTTATTGAGAAGCACAAGCCACAGGTAAAAATCATTTTGAGCCGAATTTTTCTCCGACAATAGTTGATCAAATCCAGTCCGATAAAAAATGAGAATTTTTCTAGTCGTCACGCTTCTCGCTCTGGTCGTGGCTTTCATCGATGGTAAGTTACGCTTTTATTAAAATATCTAAATTCATAAATAAAGTTCATAAGATTTTTCTGTTTCTCATTCAAATCGAGATTATTTGCTTCTTTGCTTGCATATTTCTTTCCAAAAATTTCACAATGAAAGGCGTACAATGAGTAAAAGGGTGAATATGCTTTTAAAATCAATTAATTTGAAAGTTTTGTTTGATAAAACGTGTGCAATATGACCTCCAGTTGACAAAATTTTTTTAACACAGTGATTTATCTATTTAAAACAGCTTAAATTGAATTGATGTCCTTGATGTTAGCCACTAACCCAAAAAAAAACCTTTTTTTTATTTGATGGAACGCTTTCCCAATTTCTCTTAGATTTTTGTGAGATGCTGTCTGAAACAATTTTCGAATCAGTTAAAACCTATGCAACTTATGAAAACATTTTTTTTTGGTTTTCCAACAAAATAATCGACCTCCATTTTTTCCAGCCAATCCCAACCGAGTGATGAGGCGAAACCGCGTTGCCGAGAAAGCGAGAAGGGACCACATGGCACGGCGAGGAGTGGGACCTTCGCCCGGATCTGGAATGGTCGTCGACCAAGTGGGAGATGTGAAGGACGTGGTGGAAGAGACAGTTCCAGAGCAGGAAGTGATGAAGAAACCGAAGAAAGACGACGAGGTCTGTCTGAAGAAGAAGGAGCTGGGTCCCATTGTCGAGTTGGTCGAGCTCTTCTACCTGGTACGTTTATGGATATGTTATATGAATTCGAGGGACCAAGTTGACTTAAGCCCGATATATGTTGAAAAAAAAATGTAGGCTTGATAATAAAAACATCAGTAACACCGAAGAATGTTTATTTATATTTGGTAATTTTTCCCAGTTGTCATGAGCTAATAGGAGAATTTCTCTACAGATCTTAATGAATTTTTTGATATTGTTCTTCTTAATTTGCTTCTTTTTTGAAATTATAGATAAACTTGAATGGATCCGAGTTTGAATAGCGAGAGAATAGGTGTTTAGTTTTTTGTCGTGTTTCCAGGTCCAAGATTTCTACGCCTTCCGAGAAGCTTGTGGCGAATTCGACTACGATGAAGAGTACTACTTCTCTGGTGCGATCGACAAACGAGGAGACGACTACGACGAAGAGGAAGATGATGAGTTGATGCTGGAAGAGACTGACATCTGGGAGATCGAATGGAAGGTGTTCGGAGATTTCATCGATGCCGCATTTAGATGCGACTGGCAGAAGTTTTGCGACCGAGTCCCGTTGTCGCCCGAGGATGAGGCAGCCCTTTGCCCCTACGGCCCATTTTTCTGGAAGAAATAAGCCGAACAAATTGCGAACGGAATCGAGCCCGATGGTTCAAATTGTGAAAAAAAATGGACTCTGATTTTAACATTTTTATGAGTTTTATCAGTGATATGTAGTTTATAGTGTCTGTTTGGCAGTCCAAAGATGAGTGTTGTTGTCTGTGCCAGTTTTCAATTTGTACAAAAAAATTGTTTTAAGAATACTTTTGATGTAATCAGTAGTGTGCGAAGGAGTTTTTCCAGCGCTGACACACAAAAATCTTGTCTTAGATGCGAGCAAAATATTGAGACTCAAAACTGCTCATTGGACAAAAAAGAGCGAGCCAGAAAAAATTGATTGCACAGAGTGCGATATAAACGCATTTTAATTTAGAGTTTGACCTGAATCAAAGTAACATCAACAGATCTATTGTTAAGTAGCCCCCATCAATGTGAATGAGTAAATATATATGTTTATTGAAGTTCAGGTTTTGGTGAAAACATTTTTCTGGGTTGAATTTATCTTCCTTGGTCAAAATTGGTCAAATGTTCTTCCTCAGTTGATTTTGATCGAAACGATTTTCCTCAGTCGAAATTGGTCGAAATGTTTTTCCTCGGTCGAGCTTGTTCATAGTAACCTTCTTCGGTCGAACTTGGTCGAAGTGTCCTTCCTCATTCGAATTTGGCCGAAATATTCTTCCTAGGTCGATTTTGGTTAAGGTTATATTCCTCATTCGATTTTGGTCGAAATCTTCTTCCTAGGTCGATTTTGGTTAATGTTATCTTCCTCATTCGAATTTGGTCAAATTGCTCTTCCTCGGTTGAACTTGGTGGAAGTAATCTTCCTCGGTCAAACATGGTCGAAGTATTCTTCCTCGGTCAGACTTGGTCAAAGCAACCTTCCCCAATCGAATTTGTTCGAAATATTTTTCGTCGGTGGATTTTGGTAAGGTTATCTTCCTCACTCGAATTTGGTCGAATTGTTCTTCCTCGGTCGAACTTGGTGGAAATAATCTTCCTCGGTCAAACATGGTCGAAGTATTCTTCCTCGGTCAAACTTGGTCAAAGTAATCTTCCCCAATCGAAGTTGACCGAAATATTCTTCCTAGGTCGATTTTGGTAAGGTTATCTTCTTCATTCGAATTTGGTCAAATTGTTCTTCCTCGGTCGAACTTGGTGGAAATAATCTTCCTCGGTCAAACATGGTCGAAGTATTCTTCCTCGGTCAAACTTGGTCAAAGTAATCTTCCCCAATCGAATTTGTTCGAAATATTATTCGTCGGTGGATTTTGGTTATCTTCTTCATTCAAATTTAGTGAAAGTATTCTTCTTCGGTCGAAGTTGGTTGAAATTATCTTCATCGGTCAACTTGGTCAAAGTATTCTTCCTCGGTCGAACTTGGCGGAAGTAATCTTCGTCGGTCGAACTGGGTTGAAGTTATCTTCATCGGTCGAACTTGGTAAAAGTGTTCTTCCTCGGTCGAACTTGGCGGAAGTAATCTTCCTCGGTCGAACTTGGTTGAAATTATATTCCTAGGTCGAATTTGGTCAAAAAAACCTTCCTCAGTCGATTTTGCTCGAAGTAATCTTCCTCGGTCAAAAATGGTCGAGTTTGTACAAATCAAACAACTTTTCCTATAAAAAGTCTTTAGTGACCTGACTTTCAAAGGGTGTCGGAAGTCTCAAAGGGTCTCGGAGCGTTCAAGATATCAACCTGATATGAGCACAATGTTGCCCTGGTACGAAACGCAGTATTGTTTCTTCTCTCTCAAAAAACTTTCTATCAACGCAAAATATATTGTTTTTAAGGTAAAATGTAATAATTTTGTTTGTTATGTGACATATTTTGACGAAAATGCTTTTGTAGCAAATATCAGACAATTCACAAAAACTAATCAATTGCGTAGGAATTGAAAAAAGAAGCTGATCTTCTTTTGAAAGATGTATACTGTTCCGAACTTTGCCTGATTCGTAATCACTTAATTATTTTTCTCTGCTCTATTTTTCAAACCACTACTGTGAACAGTTTAACAAAATTTTTTACTCTGCATTGGCACATCGAGTGAGTGAAACAATGTTGAGCTTTCAATTTTTAAAAAACATCAAAAACTGTTTCAAAGGCTTCATGAACGGTTTTTTGACTAATAAAATAAATTGAAGCTTTCTAATCATCTTTAAAAAAATTGTGACTTTTTTATTAGAAAAATGGTCTTTTTCATTGTATTTTCATTCATGTTATTTCATTCTTTCTTCAATTTAAAAACCTAGGAATTAAAAAAGTTGTTTCTCACTCTCTGATGATCGCAAGCTCATTCATGATCTTTAAAATTACATGACCCAAAATAACTTGCACAAAAATTAAAAATTATCAAAAAAATTGCAAAGAAATTTTTCTTTGCAGGTCAACAACTGATTTTCTTGCTATTTATAAGTATTGAAAAAACCAAATCTGTGAGAAATTTGTTTTACCACTCATTTTTCATGGTACAAGCTTTCTGGTCAAAAGTTTTGTTTTTTATGGGTAATTCTGTGGGAATGTGCGAAAATTTTTTTTAATGGCAAACCACCAAAAACAAATTGCAAATTATCCGTGTGGGTGCTGACGCTTAGCAACTGGGTTTTCTTGTACGTACAAAACTTTGATGCCTTGACAAAAAAGAAAAACTCAAAACGAAAAAATTGTTGACTTTTATTTAAGGAAAAGTGCAAGTCACATTTTTGGATGGTTCTCATTCAAGTTTCATATATCTAAGAAGACGCTTAAAATTTGTCAAATACGCTATAAACCCAGAAAGCTTTGTGCTCACATTTTTCGAACGAATATTTTTCGATTCTTTGAAAACCTTGATTGTATTACCAGTTTAGTCCTTTTTTGTTGCGTATCTAAGTTTTCTAAGAGTATTTTCTTCTTTTTGAAGATTTGATTTTGCAATTTTTCTGCAAAAAATGATACCAGTCAAAAAAAAATTGTTTGATTTATTTTAAAAATTTTTTGAGCGCACTTAAATCATGCAGTTTTTAGATTACGTCGTGAAATTGTGAGAAAAATGGAAATACTGTTTATGCAACATTTTAAAACAATATTTAATTAGCTATTCTGCGACTTTACGTGACCCAAATTACCTATGTTGCCACTTTGTGCTACTCAAATCAAATTAGCTATGTTGCGACTTTGCGCGACCCAAATCAGCAATGTTGCCACTTTGTGCGACCCAATGTTGCAATGTTGCGACTTCCTGCTACCCAAGTTAGCTATGTTGCGACTTTGCGCGACCTAAGTTAGCTATGTTGCGACTTTGCGCGACCCGAATTAGCTATATTGCGATTTTGCGCGACCCAAATTACCTATGTTGCCACTTTGTCGAACCCAAATAAGCTATAATGCCACTTTGTGCGACCCAAGTTAGCTATGTTGCGACTTTGCGCGACCCAAATCAGCTATGTTGCAACTTTGCGCGACCAAAATTAGCTTGGTTGCGACTTTGCGCGACCCAAATTAGCTATGTTGCCACCTTGCGCGACCCAAATATGCTATGATGCCACTTTGTGCAACCCAAATTAGCTGTGATGCGACTTTTTGCGACCCAAGTTAGCTATGTTGCGACTTTCCCCGACCAAAATTAGCAATGTTGCCACTTTGTGCAACCCAAATTAGCTGTGATGCGACTTTGTGCGACCTAAGTTAGCTATGTTGCGACTTTGCGCGATCCAAATCAGCTATGTTGCGAATTTGTGCGACCCAAATTAGCTGGTTGCGACTTTGTGCGGCCCAAGTTAGCTATATTGCGATTTTGCGCGAACCAATTTTTCTATGATGCCACTTCGTGCGACCCAAATTAGCTGTGATCCGACTTTGTGCGACCCAAGTTAGCTATGTTGCGACTTTCCCCGACCAAAATTAGCTATGTTGCCACCTTGCGCGACCCAAATAAGCTATGATGCCACTTTGTGCAACCCAAATTAGTGATGCTGCGACTTTGCGCGACCCAAATAAGCTATGTTGATTTATATTGGCGGGATGATGGAAATTCGGTCGCAACATGAGTCGCTGACCTCAACCCGGGATATTCATATTGAGCGGTTTGAGCGGTTTTTGAGCGGTTTATCAACTAACACCGCTCAGAAACCGCGCAAAGTTTGGACGTTTTTTGAGCGGTTTATCTAGAAAAACCGCCCAAAAACCGTTCAAATCTTCCGCGGTTTTTCTAGATAAACCGCTCAAAAAACTTTAAAACTTTGCGCGTTCTTTGAGCAGTGTTTTTTGTTAAACCGCTCAAAAACCGTTCAAATCCTACGAAGTTTTGAGCGTTTTTTTTACATAAACCGCTCGAAAACCGCTCAAACCGCTCATTATGAAGCACAATTTTGAGGGAAATTAGCAATGTTGCCACCTTGCGCGACCCAAATAAGCTATGATGCCACTTTGTGCAACCCAAATTAGCTGTGATGCGACTTTGTGCGACCTAAGTTAGCTATGTTGCGACTTTGCGCGATCCAAATCAGCTATGTTGCGAATTTGCGCGACCCAAATTAGCTAGGTTGCGACTTTGTGCGGCCCAAGTTAGCTATATTGCGATTTTGCGCGAACCAATTTTTCTATGATGCCACTTCGTGCGACCCAAATTAGCTGTGATCCGACTTTGTGCGACCCAAGTTAGCTATGTTGCGACTTTCCCCGACCAAAATTAGCTATGTTGCCACCTTGCGCGACCCAAATAAGCTATGATGCCACTTTGTGCAACCCAAATTAGTGATGCTGCGAATTTGCGCGACCCAAATAAGCTATGTTGATTTATATTGGCGGGATGATGGAAATTCGGTCGCAACATGAGTCGCTGACCTCAACCCGGGAAATTCATAATGAGCGGTTTGAGCGGTTTTTGAGCGGTTTATCAACTAGCACCGCTCAGAAACCGCGCAAAGTTTGGACGTTTTTTGAGCGGTTTATCTAGAAAAACCGCCCAAAAACCGTTCAAATCTTCCGCGATTTTTCTAGATAAACCGCTCGAAAACCGCTCAAACCGCTCATTATGAAGCACGATTGTGAGGGAAATTGTCTGAAAAAAAAACGGCTCAAACCGCTCAAATCTTGTTTCAAATTAAGTGAAAAATCTCGACTCGGGGTGTTGCTGCAACTGATATAAAATTTTCAAAAAACTATCATCTAAAACCGTACTAGAACAAAATCTCGATTTTTGTTTCCGGTAGTACTGGTACATTTATCT